AGCCATTGTAGTTGGTGTGTAGTGCTGTCTTCTTGTTTTGGTTGCAATTCTCTAATGACATGTGATGTAGAACATCTTTTCCTGTGCTTCTTGCCATCTGTACATCTTTTCTCATGAGTTGTCTATTGAGGTCTTTTGCACATTTTCTATTAGCTTGTTATTTTCTTTGTGTTGGGTTTTAAAAGTTCTTTGCATATTTTTGATGACAGTCCTTTTTCAGGTATGTCTTTTACAGGTATTTTTCCCCCTTTTATGGCTTGTCTTCTTCCCTTGATATTGTCTTTTGCAGAGCAGAAATTTTTACTTTTAAAGAAGTCAGCTTATCAGATGTTTCTTTCCTGGATTATGCCTTTGGTATCGTACCTAAAAAGTTAACACTATATCCAACTTCATTTACATTTTCTCTTATGTTACCTCCTAGGCCAGGGGTGTCCAACCTGCAGCCCATGGGCCACATGCTGATTTTGTGAAGACTTTTTTTGTTTATCTGTAATGTTGGATTATCACACACACACAAAAAAATATATATATGTCTGTGTGTATATATATATGTGTGTGTGTGTGTGTGTATGTATCCAGACCTCCTTTTTGCTAATCAAGTTTCATTAGTGTTTGTGTATTTAACGTGTAGCGCTGGGTTTGAACCCACCATCTCTGGCATATGGGGCCTGCACCCTACTCCTTGAGCCACAGGCACCGCCCTTTTTTTTTTTTTCTGAGACAACTTTTATTCTTCCAGTGTGTGGCAGAGAAAAAAAGGTTGGACACCCCTGTTATAGGCATTTTGGGGTTTTAAAAGTTTCACTTTTATGTCTGTGATCCATTTTGTGTTAATTTGTGTGAAGGATGTAAAGTTGATGTCCAGGTTCACTTTTTTGTGTGTGGATGTCCAGTTGTTTGACAGCAAATTTTGAGAAGACTTGCATGTTCCTTTGACTTTTCTTTCCTCCTTGGTCTCGGATCAATTGACTTTATTTATGTAAGTCTATTTCTGTTCTTTAGCCAGTACCACACTGTGTCGATCACAAGAGCTTTGTGGTAATTCTTAAAATCAGATACTTTCAGTCCTCCTGCTTTGTTCTTCTGCTTCTGTGATGAGTTGGCTATTCTGGTTCTTTCGTCTCTTCATAAAAACTTTAGAATCAACTTGTCAATATTTACAAAATAACTTGAGAGGATTTTTTTTTTTTTTGAGACAGAGCCTCAAGCTGTCCCCCTGGGTAGAGTGCTGTGGCATCACAGCTCACAGCACCCTCCAACTCCTGAGCTCAAGCGAGTCTCCTGCCTCGGCCTCCCAAGTAGCTAGGACCACAGGTGCCCACCACAACGCCTGGCTATTTTTTGGTTGCACCCATCATTGTTGTTTGGCGGGCCCAGGCTGGATTCAAATCCACTACCTTAGGTGTATGTGGCTGTTGCCTTAGCCACTTGAGCCACAGGCGCCAAGCTGAGAGGTTTTTTTTTTTTTTTTGACAAAGTCTCACTCAATCACCATAGAGTAGAGTGCTATGGCTTCACAGCTCACAGCAACCTCAAACTCCTGGGCTCAAGAGATCCTCCTGCCTCACCCTCCCTCCACCACCACACCCAACTACTTTTTCTGTTTTTAGTAGAGACAGGGTCTCACTTTGCTCAGGCTGATCTCAAACTCCTGAGCTTAAGAGATTCACCCGCCTCAGCCTCCCAGAGTGCTGGGATTATAGGCATAAACTACTGCACCCAGCCATCTTAAGGGGATTTTGATTGGGATTGTGCTGAGTCTATAGATCAACTTGGGAAGAACAGACATCTAGATAAGTCTTTCTATACTTTCTTTAGGACCTGAAATATTTCTCCATTATTTAGTTCTTGGCATCTATCATCAGACTTTTTTATAGTTTTTCATATAGATATGTGCATATGTTGGATTTATAGCTACATATTACATTTTTGAGGGTGCTAGTGTAAATGATAATGTGTTTTTGTTTTTCTGTTTTTGGGGGGTATTTTTTTTGGGACAGAGTCTCATTTTGACGCCCTCAGTAGAGTCCTGTGGCGTCACAGCTCACAGCAACCTCCAGCTCTTGGGCTTAGGTGATTCTCTTGCCTCAGCCTCCAAGTACCTGGAACCACAGGCTTCCACCACAATGCCCGACTATTTATTTCACTGTTGTTCCAGTTTGGCCAGGGCCGGGTTTGAACCTGCCACCCTCGGTATATGGGGCTGGTGCCCTACTCACTGAACCACAGGAGCCTCCTGATAATGTGTTCTTAATTTTAAATTCCACTTGTTTATTTTATAGAAAAGCAAGTAACTTTTGTATATTAACTTTCTATCCTGAAGCCTTGCTATAATCACTTTTTATTCCAGGAGTTTTTTTGTCAGTTGTTTTGGAGTTTCTCCATACATGATCATGTCTTCTTGAACAAAACCAGTTTTCATTCTCCCTCCACAATCTATATACTTTGTTTCTTTGTCTTACTGTAGTAGCTAGAACTTTTGGCATGGTACTGAAGAGTAACACTGAGAAAGGACATCTTTTCTTCCTTATGATTTTAACAGGAAAGCATCATGTTTCCTATCCTGTTGAGGCGTTAACTATAAGTTGATTTAG